TTTGACTGAATTACTCACCAGAAACCATACTGGCGGCGGAGGAAAGGTGAGGAGCAGAACAGAAGCTAGTGATTATAGAAAGAACATACATCTGGGAGATTTACCTTCTTTGGGTTAATTAAACTTCCATGAAAAAATGAAAAAAATAATTGTAATGAGTGATGTCTTCAAATGTCTTCTAATCCATGTAAAACATATATAAAGAAAAGCAAACAAAAATGAAAAGGCATGAAAAGTGTACGGGAACATTCTGCAAATGAGAACTGCCCTGTTCTATTGAAGATTCATGAATAGAAAGAACTGAAGATGAATTGGGGGTCAGGGCACCCCCCACTGTTTCTCCAGGGCACCAGAAGCCCTCAGGTGCAGCGCCCAGCCCTTCTGTGGGGATCCTGCTGGTTCCCCGTGGCAACCTCTCAGCTCTGGGCCGTGAGCTGCCTCTGGGCCCCGAGCAGCTTCACAGGAGGACCTGCTGGTTGATACAAGAAGGAGCATCTGTTCCTTCCCTGACCCAGGGACAGCTCCTCTGGGACATAGTACGTGGCCGACAGTTCCAGGAGGCCCGGGCCACCTATGTCCCCCATGAGATGCTCCAGCTGGCCTTTACCCTCGTCCACACCAGGCACCACCATTTGCAGCCTGAATCTGACCCTGCTGGACAAATCTGCCGAGGGCCCCAGGGGCAGCCAGAGCTCTGGACACCTGTGTGGTACCTGTGACGGGAGTGGTGTAGTCTCCCCTGGGTTTGAGGGGCCTGGCCTGGCATTGAAGTTGTGCTTCCAGCAAATCCATCTCCATCTGAGAGAGAAGAAACAGAGTGACTGCCTGGGAAGGAGTCTGAGTCAAAATCAGGCGACCCATCTCTTCCTATTCAAATGAAGACATAAGGAAAGGGAAATGATAAAAGGAAGAAAGCAGGAAAGAGACCTGGAAATGATATTCTTGACCTACAACACTAAGTCACATAGCCATGAGTTCCATCTTTCTAAGGACTCCTCTTTCTGCTTCAGCCATACAATTTGTTAAGTTACTCAGCATTGTGGGTAAAATGTGTCTGTGACAGGACTGTCCCTAAGGGCCTCCGTCTGCAGGAAAGAACTAGCCTGAAATTGTTTAGGTGTTCATGTACTGCAGAATCCTCTGGTTTCTGGAATAACACTGAACCAGTTGGAACAGTTTTCCTGACCTCACAGCTGCAGCAACAAGAACAAAACCAACAACCACCAACAGCAAAAACTCTTTTGAAAACAACAACTCTTCTTAGATCTACTCACAGCTGTGGTCCCAGCACCAGTCTCAGCGCTGGTACCAGGAGAAAAAGGAGTGCGCAGACAATCACACTTACCAGAAGAAGGCAGTGACAAGAACTCGAGCTGTTACGGAAGCATGGCTCAAGGCTCTGTGTGCTTCCACTGGACAGTTACAACGTCCAGTCCTCCCTAGTTAGTGGAGCCCACGGGTTTGTGAGTTGTACCTTTGGAATCTCCGCTAGGCTGCCCTGTGAAGAGCAGAGGGAAATCTGCTGGCTTTGCCAGCAGAGGGAGAGGAAAGCAATCACTCTAGAATAGTCTGAGGCTACCTCTTCAGCGTGCTGGAGGCCAAGGGGATCTGTGACCAGGAGCCTGATGGAGGGAAGTCAAGAAGAGCAGACTTCCCACTGGAGATGTAGGGGTGAGTCTGGACTCTCCAACAATGCATGTCCTGGAGACATTAAATCGCAATGTGTCTTGCATATTTGGAAATCGAAGCACGGTGCTGAAAGTCCTTCCATCTGATGTGACTGTGGAATGAGAAGGTGCCCTAAAGCTTCAGAGAACCTTTGACATTTAAGGCTGAGATGGAGTAGGGGAGCCTGTCAGGGGCACAGAGATGGGGCAGCCAGTGCAGGTGGGAGGCAACCAGGGAAGAATGATCTCCAGGAAGTGTGGCAGAAGGGAAGAT